GATTCAGTGTCGATTTTAGTGTGTAATTTCCGTACACAGATACATTGTTCTCATTGAAATGGAGCTCGTTGCATTTCAAACTGTTACGGGCAGCGTTTTTTTTTTTTTGATTTTATATTACTGGTTTTCTTCTCGAAAATCTCATTGGAAATTATTGTCCCTGGCTTTAGGCTCAGCTTGCTACAGCAATTGAAAAAGCTGAAGCAGACAAAATAGCATCTATATGTGAGCAGGTTGCTCTTGATGTTGATCCTCTTTCGAAAATGCTCGATCAGCTTAGTGGTCACTGCAGTAAAGATGTCATCTCGGTGTGTTGCATTTTATCACGTGCATCCTTATTGCAATTAAATCTCAATTGTCATGTATTGGATTGCTTTCAAAATCCAAAATTATGTTTGAGCTTCATCATTTCTTTGAATCTTCCAGAACAGCAAAAAATGGATATTTGAGAAATGTACAACCGATCGGTTGCGTGAGGCTATACTGATGTATCTACTTTATCGAGTGAAGGAGCCACGTGCTACTGAACAATTCAAACTTCACATTTTATATTTAATAAACGATTGGGCCCACCATTGGTTAGAACTATCAGAAACATATTCAACTTTAAATCTATTCAAAAGTTCAATATTTTAACGACTGTTATATTACTGATGCCTTGTATTTTATAAAGTTAGGAAGGCTATGCATTTATCCCAAGATGTACTATTTGTGAGATTACATGCTTGTTACATTATAGGTGATTTTTCCTTGAAAAGTTTACACTGTTAGACGGGCGAGCTATTCCTAATCATTATAAAATTGCTCTTTCATTTAAAGGCTACTAAAATTATGGATACCGCCAAAACAATTATTGTGATCAGTTTGTTGGTTCTGAACCTGTCAAACTCCTACTACTTTTATCATTTATAAATTTGCATAGTTTGCATCGTTATTTATTAAAAATTTTAAAATTTAGTCAACGTAAAAAGTTGGATGCAATCCGACAAATGCTTTCGCGATATGTGCCACAACTCTATGCTTTCACAGCTCAGGGTGTTAAAGAAGCGATTGTGAATGAAAAGCTTGAAAAATTGGTTGGCGTTTGGGAAGGCCATAAATATTTTGATGATGGTTGTTATAAAGTATGTTTGTATTTGATAGTTGTTTGAAGCTTTGTCTTCTGCTTAAAGTGAACTAATAATAATCACTGTAGTATTTATTGTATTAGTAAAACAGTGAAATGACATCGAAATCGGCTTTATGAATTGGATTGATATTATAGTCGTCATAACGTAACATTTTACGAAATATGTGTCGTAATTATGAATAAAATAATTATATAATTTCCAGCAACTGCGAAATCCACTACTGTTGTATCAAAACTGGAAAAATGCACAACAAGCGGAATATGCCAAGAAAGCGGCAGAAATCCATGCACAATTATTGGCAACTTATAAAGGTTACGAGCAACAGCATCAAGAATTTGCATTACATTGTAGGACGCAGATTGCTTTGCTTCAGCAACAGATTGAAGCCGAAAGGATAAAACAAAGTAAGCCTTGAACCATTAAAATATCTTTATTCGAGTCTATAAATTTATCACAATCACTTATGATATGATCTGTTTGAAAAATTAGATCAAAAATTAGATACTTTCTGATCTTTATAAGAACTATAAATCAGTGTGACATGAATCTTTTAGCAAATGCACAATAACCAATTCAGTGATTGTGTGTATATAAAAATCATTATTAGATAAATTTTTTGGAATATCTGGTATGAAACAAATTTTTTCAGGTATGCCTCCATCTGCATCAGGACCCGCAATGCCGCCGTTGCCACCTGCAGCAGCACCTGAAGGACCATCACCATTGAATCGCCGTGAACGTCGATCACGTTTTGACCAGAAGATTGCAGGACCACCGCCAACACAAAATAATTTTGCCAATATACCACCAGAAAATGATTATGGTCGCTTTTTCACTGCTCCGCCACCACATACGAACGTTCCATCACCTAAGGGTAAATTTGAAAATGATCGAAGATATTCTTGCTTAGACTTTTTTTTTTGTTGCTTACAAGTTTAGATTAATCCAAATATCATACGCATAATATCAAAACTGAGTGACAATCTAAGCAGTTATCTACAACAATTTAAAACTTAAATTTAGTGTTGTTAAGCATAATTCGTCTTTATTACAAAGCTGTTGCTGTAAAATCAAATGAGTTTATAGTCTGTTATCTTAAGGCTTATATTGCATCCAGGTGTCTTCAACAATTGTGGTTTTTAGATATATATCATGCTCGACCTGATGAAGATGATCCATCATATGTTATTTATGATGAAGACGAATTCAACAGTGGTTTACAGAATAAAAATCGTAAAAATGAGAATGAAGTTCAAGCAGCTCGCGCACCATTTCGTGGACCTTCACAACCTGTTGTTTTTGGACCTCCACCGCAAAATGTAAGTGTGGTGCATTCCATATTAGTTAAAGTGTTGTAACCGTATGTCCCATCTTTGGTATAATTCAGATTCTTGTGCGATGTCACATGGAATGCCGAGTTATTGTTCTAAAGCTTCCTTCATTTTCATTATCAGATTTATCGTTTTACTTGCATTATGGTTTCTTACAGATGTTTGATGATGCTGCTTTAATTCCAAGCGTTCCTTATTATGAGTTACCTGCAGGCATGATGATGCCACTGATTGAAATGGAAGATGTACTGGTGACGTTTTCAGTTCCCGTCTTTATCAGTATTCGAACTAGCCTAATTTAAGCTCTTAATGTTAAATAATTTATGTGACAGAAAAGTAGAAAATAATTCAGTTCTTTACATATAAAAGTTTTTGAATACTTTATTTTATGTATTCCACTTAATTCACAGTTTTTTTCAGTACAAACCTGTCATAGTATCAAAATTGCGTCTTCCGCCTCCAATTCCACCTACTGAGCGGTTACTGCGTGCCATGGATGCTTTTTATGCTCCACAGAGCTTGGAAAATCAAAGAGACACGTGTGCTTTTCTAACATCCAATATTTATGCATAAGTTTTAAGTAAAACCTCTAAAATATAAAGAATTCCAAAAGTTGTGACATCTTTGGGGCGCACAATGAAAACAAGATGTGATTATTACATTTGCTTTATAAAAAGGGAGACTGATTGATTTGTAGATGCTCTCAATAACTGCATATGGATTGAAATCATTTATTCATTTTTTTTTTTTTTTCATTTTGACTTCATTTAGAGATGGCTGGGAACGCCACGGTTTACTCGAATATTATTCGAAGAAAAATGAAATAAAGAAAAAAGTGGAAGAGCAACTGAAAGAAGAGGGAAAAACATTAGAAGATGCAATTGAAAATGTTTATATCGAGGAAACTAATGAGGAAAAAGATGAAAAACAGAATTACAGACGTTCTTCATCAAGGTTGGTATTAATATGACTTACCTATTTCATCCCATTAAAATCTTATACATACTACTAATAAATGTAAATAAAATGTTTTTTAAACTTTGTAAAACATGGTGTTCGTTCGAGTGAATGATGAAATGGTATTAAAGCAGTGGTTTCTGTACTTTTTCAAAGACTATTTTGTTATATACTTATTTGTCTTTACTTTAAATTTTTTACTACTTTATATTATCTTTAACATTTAAATCGATGTTTCTAGAAGCCATCATCGATCAAGTTCTTCGGACTCATCATCCAGTCGGTCGAGCACTTATTCAAGTGATAGATCGAGGAGACGATCAAGAAGTAGTCATTCAAGTGCAAGCTTTAGCTCTCGATCTCGATCTCGGTCTCGGTCCTTGTCACGTTCGGATTCAAGGTAGCTACAATAATCACTGTTTTTCTCTTCGGAGTTTATCATTTTTTAAAAAAATTTTAAACTTGTATATGCAATACAGGCGTCGTCGTAGCAGGTCTCGATCAGATTCATCGAGACGACGAAGGCGTTCTGATTCACGAAGTGCTTCTCCTGATATACGACCATCATTTGGAAATCCGAAGCAAAATCACAGTCGAAGTCCTACTCCAAAATTGTAAATGCTTCATTCTGATATTGCTGTATTAAAGTTTCGAAAATCTTCAGGGTTTATTGAGTAGCTTTTTCGGAACTTATTCATGTGATTACTTAACATTTTGATTGCTTCTCATTATTATTATTATGATTTATAATCACTTACGGTTTCACTGATGATAGTTTTCCAGCATTCCACCATCTGGACCTCCACCACGATTAAGTTCTGCGAACAAAGGTGCACAGCTGTTAGCGAAAATGGGTTGGCAAGGTGGTGGTTTAGGTGCCGATAGACAGGTGATCTTATAAAACTTTTTTTCATTTACATATTTTTTTATTTGCGTTGGGAAAATCTACTTTCAGGGCATTGAGGAACCGATATCTGGTGGTGAAATTCGGGATGCTGTGGACCAGTTTCGTGGTGTTGGCTCAAAACCAGATATGTACGAGGAATATCGGAAGCAAATGAGTGGATATCACAAAAGTCGAAATAAGCGGGGTTTTGATTAGATTATGGACTTATTTGTATGCGGATATAGTCTATATTTAACTTGTACTAGTTTTTTGAAATTTTTAGAGTTTTTAAAATTTTCATGAAACTTGTAAGTTTCGAGATTCATTTTTGTTTTTTATGTTTGCTTTCATGTTGAAATACTAAAACTTCATACTTGGGCGAGATTTTAAGGTCTCAATATCAGAATTTTTATTTGGGACCTAAAGTTCAATGAATTTTTTATTGGGCAGTGAGAAAAGAAGTTGAGGACAAACAGTGAGGTATGCCAGAGGATGATAATCATTGGAAGCCAAAGGCTAATTTAATAGTGTATTGTTATTCATAGTGAGATATTGTAGTTCATTCACTTTTTTTTATTGTTACTGTTAATCTTATGTTACTATATTCATAAAATCATATGTCTTTTTACAAATTCAGAGTTTTTATTTCATTTGTTAGCTGACTAGCAAATTTTTATAATTATTTGGCAAAAATACTTAGCTGCTCCAAACTGTTTTATGTGGAACTGCAATGCATCTGAAGAATAGTTCAGCAAATTCACCAAGTGTCAGGAAAGACATACCAACATAGAGACCCAAAGTGCCACCAATGTTTGATAACAGATCCCAGACATCCTGTGATGGTGACTCGACTATTGACTCATAATTTAATTCCTAAAAGTATTCCGAACAGACCGGTTTTAGTTTCTTCTAAGAACTTATTAATGAGAATAAACATGCAGAAGATCAATGAGTAGATGGTGGTACTGTTTTAATGTTCGATTGGTTTTCGTATTCTTATTTGAAGACTTAGTCATAAGCGAAGTCAGAAATGAGAGATTTGGTTTCATGCTATATTAATTAAATGAGGTAAACAAAGATACTTCGGGTAATTTGAAGCGAGGATCTGGGTAAGATAAACCAAAGTGCTTCATGTATTATTTTCATAAATGTATTCTTAGATTAACAGTATGGAACTTTAAACTTACGAAGATTAGGCTAGGCTTTTATACTTAATAAATTTGTACTTACTTCATAGTAGACTTCAAGTTTTGCTAAATTTGTTCTAGCTTCTCGTGCTTCATGCATTGTTTCCATAGATGGAAACTGTCGTTCCCAAAGATCTTTGACACGATTATAATAGCTTGTACGTGGCCACAATGATGTGGTTACACGTGATACGTATCCTTGTTCGTGACATGGTTGTGGGCATTGTTTCTCGCAAACGCCACTGTTTGTTGAATTTTCCAGTGACTGAAATTTATAAAAATTCCAACATTCCAAAGGCATTTTTATTTGCTTCACTTCTTTTCATCCAAGTCAATAATTTAATCAAGCTTTATTTGCACTGGGGAAGTCATATTTTCAAAATGTTGCAAGAAAATTTTCACAATATTAACTTTGAAAAACAAATAAATGAAAAAAAATCTATCTATCAAAACAATTAGATGAGTAAATGTATTTTCTAATTAATCAACAATACGTAGTGATAACTATAGCAAGAATTATATGTCAAATTAAAATGATTTATAATATTATTATATTGAAAACAAAATGAATAGGAAAAAAAAAAGGTAAAAGGAAATTAACCTTTCTAACACAATCAAATTGCATTTGAAGTGTAATATCACATGCAATTATTGGTTGATTGTTGTTTATACCATAAAATGTACGAATATCATCATGAGTGACAAAACTAGGATCAACACAATGACAGTCCTATTTGAAATTATATATGTCTCATTACTATCAGCAAATCTTTTCATTCTATAATTTTTTTTTTCTTAATTTGAAAACTATTGCAACATTTCGAGAATTTGAAAAACAAGAAAGGATTTTGTTTTAATTTCTTATTTTGAAATGTTTACCTGAATTAAACGTTTTTGATAACATGATTTCATGCAGGCTTGTGTTGTATAATTTATTAGACCAGTATATCCTATAGCTTTTAATGCTGTATGATATCTAAAAAGGAAAAGAAAAAAAACAATAATATAGTTATTAAAGTTTTTCAAAATTTTCCTGCACTGATAAATTTATGGACAATTTATATGCTTCGTCTGCTTGTTTGAACTAATAATTTAAAAAAATGTTAGGATCAAAAAAAAAATTTTTATTTACAAATATTAAGTTTACCAGTTTAGTTTATCACTTAAAATTTTGCAAGAACTTTTTTAAAATTATTTAGGATTGTTTTTGTTTCAATTTAATTAAACCAAGTTAATGATTGAATTACTATTAGAAATACTTATCTTTTGTGATACAATGATGCATTTACCCTGAAAAAAAAAAACGAAATTATATAATTAATCACAATGTTTGTTTTCGAAAAATATACAGTTTATTTGAGAAGAGTAATAAATATTTGAAACCAATTAAAAGAACAATATTTGCAAAAATTAATATAACAAATTTCTGATTAATCTTATTATGCTTAAAACCGATCATTATTTTTTTTTGAAAAAATAAATTCTTATTTAATAAAATTATTTGCTAAGGAAATTTCGGTAACAAAATGTTACACAAACCATGGTCCATCAGGTTCAACGTTATTACCGAGATCACCACAATCTGTTCCATCATATGGTAATGGCATCCGTGAAACTCTTATTTGTTTAATCTTCAACAAGTAATTTTTTGATAATTTAATAAATTTTCAAATTGAATACTTCAACTTAAAATTATTTGATAAAAAAAAAAAAAGAAAGATATGGAAAGCTATCTTAAATATCTATCAATCATTCACCCCGACAGATGTCATTACACCTGGTGATATCGTAAAACCTTTATCTTCCGGAAATGGAATGTATTCTGCAGGATGTACTTCAACCTGAAATTCCTACATATTATTGTAATTACAGTTAACAGAATTAAAAAATAAAAGAAGGAAGGTTCGACTAAATTATGTTCTAGCATAAAACGGTTTCCGTATGAAATAAGAAGAAAGGAAATCGAACTTTAAAACCGGAACCCTGTGAATGTCTGACAAGATATTCCTTATCAGCAACATATAGTGTTAATGATAAACCATATAATGGTCCTACAAATCCTTGATATTGTTGACCTGTTGCTTGAAATGTAAAACAATTACCATATATACCATGCTCCCATCTGAAATTATCAATTAAATTAACTTTTTTTTCTACTATTTAATTTTACTCATAACTTAATGAATTTATTTATAATTATGTTAAATTACTTACGCAAATACGTAATAACTTAAAAAAAAAAAAACGTAAATTGATAAGCAAAGTACATAGTAATATTCATAACTTACTAATAGTTATAAATAAACTGATAACCTGGTGAAATTCTTTGCAGTACATTTGGTTGATTGATAAGTGCAATCAATTAACATATGATTGATATCATGTCCAGCTACTGATAAATTTATCTGAAACGTTTAGGAATGAATAAATAGAAAATTTTGTAGCAAATATTGTTTTGATAGCTCCATTAATGATTATGCTACTACAATTTGTAAACAAAAATGCTACATTTAGTAAATTAAAAAAAAGAAAAAAAAAAAAAGCAAAAGAAAATTTTGACTAAAATTAAAATTTTGTGAAATTTTTGGTGAAAAAGAAAAAAGAAAATGTTTTTTTTGATAATTACAAATAGTAAACATTTTTTTCAAAAATGAGACGAAGATGTTTGTGAATAATGCGCATTTCAGGTGTGATATGTTCTGCCAAACGATGTTGTTCTTCATAATTTTTCCATTGTTGTTCCGTAAATTTATGAAACTAAATTTTAATTAATCAATTAATGATTAAATTTTTTTATTTAACTTGTAAATAGTTATAGTATTCAAAAAAAAACTCATCCTATTTATAAATCTTTGCATCACTTTATAATGCACATACAATAATAATTTGTTTATTGTATCCACATTCCTTAATGTTTACTGTCTTATTGTTATTGCTCATTGCATTATATTTATTTTACACTTACATTATCACTTTTCTCAGTTTCATTATTAGATGTTTGTGAAAAAAATGTTTTCAACCAGCTTGCACGAATCGGATTTAAATTACATATGGTGACTGCAGGAAAAATACTATTTGTCATGTGTCGTATTTGAATTGATACAACTGTTTGATACTGATAATACTTATCAATCGATATCCATATTTGATAAGTACAAATAATCCTGTAAATCATTTGATAAAAATTTTTGCTTCTGCTAAATATTTTTGCTATAAAAACATAATTATTAATTACCAACCATGCTGATAGTATTGCAGTAACCCAGAGAATTCGCATGAAAGCATTCTGTGACTTACTAGCCAGAATGCAACCATGCGCAGATGTCGTTTCCGCAAAATCATCCAAGATGCGCTTTCGTTTACTGCTTACAAGAAGTTCAGAGATATAACTTTGTGGCATAATTAAAAAATGAAATCGTCCATGCTATCTCATGAAATTATTTACAACCTTATGTAAAATTTACGTTTTATTTTCTCTTGTTTTTTTTTTTTTTCACTTTTTTGAATTTGTGAATTGCAACTAAAATTGCTGCTTCATCATAATGTTATGCAAATCGTATCGATCTGACAATTAATGAATAACTTAAATAGGACATTGTTCATTTTATATTGTTGAGCAGATTGATAGACTGATAATGATTAATAAATAACTATTTCTGCTTATGGATGTGCAATCTTGAAATTAAGTATACCATCAATTTTAACTAATCATTAGCATCACTGAAATAAACTGTTAAACTATGATTAATCAATCGCTATCAGAGTTATATCTCAAATAGAAATAAAATGATCAGAACTATATCAGAAATTTTAATAATTATATATCTATTTGCATATTAATATAATCATTTATAGCTATTGCATGCATTTTATCACTTCAAAATTTGTAGTTTTAGGTATTGACACTCTTAAATTAATAGCAATGTAGAATAAAGTAAGAAATGAGAATGCTAATAATAAATGTAGAAGGAATACCTTAATTTTTAAAAGTTCAAAAATTTTTTCACCAAAAAAGAAAAAAGTAACTGGAGTGACTAATAATTTCAACTAATGTCAAATAATAGCGATTTGCTTTCCATCCTGGAAATTGGAATCGGATGCATTTTTAAGTGAGAAAAATTTCATTAAACAAATAGCAATTTCTTAATTAGAAAGCAATTGTTGTGATTGCTCAAATTAGATTAATGTCAAATGTAAAAGAAAAAAAAAAAGGACAATGTACAAGAATTTTCTTTCTACCAATGTTATTATCATAATTACCTCAAAAAATACACTTGAGTTAATTTTTATTAAAATTATCAAATTATTTTGATTAGAAACAAGGAAAAAGATTTTTTACTAAATTGTAACAGTTTAAAAAATGATTAAATAAGACATTAAAATAAACTCATTGAATCAAAAGGAAGAATTTTTGAAATAACGAATTAAAAAAAAAGACCAAATACTATTTTTTTTCAGCTTTTTGCAAAATGTCATTGTTGCTTTAACTTCGCAAATTTGTTTATCAATTATTATTCAATCAATTATTATTCAAATTAACCAATTCATTTATAAATCACAATATTATGGGGACTTTTTTCTTGTTTTTTCTTTCAATTTCATAAAAAAGCTCACTTTTTGTTGCATTTTTTGGGAAAAATTAATATACTTTTCCTTGAATTAATATCAAACAAAATTTTATTTCAAACAAAATTTATTGCAATAAAATGAAATAAATCAGTGGTTTTCATTACATATCATTTTCAATAACTGATAATTACACCTGATACACTGATAATGCACTTGATTTAATTAGTAAAATATTTTTAATGAGATATTAGTAAGAAATAAATTTTTGATTGCATTGTGAAACAAAAAAAAAACTCAAAAATAAACAATGAATTGTTTAATGTGAAAAAAAAATGCTGCTGAATGATACGGTAGAAATATGTTTGTGAAAAAAAATTTTTTCTAACATAAACTTTTTCACCATTTGTTGTTTTTGCAATGATTATCTACCGTATTTTCTTACTGTAATTTTCTACAGTAATACAGATGCTTAGCAATTCTGTATTGATTTGTTTTTTGTTATACTGTAAGAGATATATTTTAAAAAATATTTTGGAAATGATTACTGAACTAAATTTTGAAATATTGGAAAAAATACAGATTAAAACAACGAAGAAGAAAAGAAGTAATATTGCTATGTAACAATTTTGTAAAAAGAAAGAAAAAAACATAATTGAAAAATAGAATAATTAATGTATATCAATTAACAGATCTCTAAGAGATGAACTTTATCAATGATAATGTCAGTTTTTTTTTTTTTTTGTTTTTCAGTTTTTAGTGCATCTTTTTTCTAAAACTTTTTAATCTTCAAACCTTCTTCAATCTTTATTTTTTTTTTTTTTTTTGTTTATTTTTTTGTGCATCTAATTTAATCTGTTAAAATATTTCAGTATTAACTGTTATCAGTAATATAAACAATTTACATCATAAAAAAATCCGGTTCAAATTTAAACCTTAATTCTGATATATGAACAGAAAAAAAAAGAAGACCATAATGTCTGCGTATTTTAAATTTTCCCACGTATTACTTACGTGTTCGTAATTTATCACGCATTTTATTATCGTAAATTTTATTAGCAGATGATGTTACCATATTACTTACTTTATCCCTTCTTTCGTTTTCTTTCATTACAATATTACTTTTTTCATTACTAAATTTATAATTGAATAATTTCAAATGACGATGATTATGATTTTTTTTAATATTACTTGTTTTATCAGCAATTGTTTTCCGGTATAATTGCCCATATTTTTTAGCTAATTTCTTACAAACATATGATACTGGGCGATAGTAGCAACAATCATCAAACCATTTCCAATTCTCTGAGCTAATTTTAACACATTTTCGACTTTTCTTATAAACTGGCTGAGTTCCTGAAAATGCAATCAATCAAAAAAAGAAAATGAAATGTTGTGATATATCATATGATAAATTATATATGATAATGATAAGTATGATTATGATAATAATAAATATAATATTACCTATACTAATTATGTATTAATACCATAGATATATACTAATGATTTATTTCTGTCATATAACTTTATATTTTGTCAATAATATGAAATATATCAAATCATGTCAATTTTTTTTTTCCTGCAAAAAGGATAAACGAAGAAATTTAGGAAATATTTTATAGCATAAATTTGCTAAATTATTTGTATGTTAGAATATTCTCAAAAAAAAAATTTATCAATTATTGTCCATTCATTTTGGAAAAAAATTCTAATAAAGCAAATCTTTGAGAATAAATTAGTTATCATATGATATCAATAAAATTATTAATTCAATGAAAAGATATTTTTGATTTTAAAAAATATATAAATAAAATAACAAATGAAAATGACACAAATCGAATTCATATGCAATGTATTAGTTGTAATTAAGTAGCAAATCATACACACATAGTGTTTGAAATTTTCATTATTGCATATTTTTTTTTTTGCTTACATTTAAAAATTGAACAGTTTGAAGATTTTTTTTCCTTTTTTTATTAAATCAAAATTTAAACCATTTTTTTAAAACTATTTTCAACTTGTTTGTTTTAAACTTTGATCGAAAAAAGAAACAGAAAATCAAATGTATAAGATCTATGAAATATAATAAATAAAATTATTGCATAGTACGATACAAAAAATTGGTCTTGATTCATTTTTTGATAATTATCTAAAATCATTTTGATCTTCATTTGTTACCTAAACATTGATTTTAATTCATTTCTCGATAATTATCTTAATTTATTTCTCGATTTTGATTCATTATCCGAATAAAATAAATAAAAATAAAAGTAAAATTGGCAATAAAAAGAGGAAAAGATTGAAATATGATGGTTTGAATGAATTTACAAATATAATTTAATTCTGTGTAAATTATAAGACTTTAAAAGTTGTAAAAAAGAAAAGCAACTAATAATCGAATTGAAATTTCATACCATTTTGCCAATTAGTATAATCAAACGGTGTTGAATCAACGTATTCATACTTTCTTGAATTACCAAAAATTGCAGCACCAAGCCATATCGATTGACCATTTTTTGCAAACATAGCTTAAGTATAAAAAGAGATTAAAATTTTTGATATATCTTTTCATAATGACTTAATAAAATATACACTAATTTTGTTTTAACAAATTTTTTAAATTACCAAATTAACTTAATTTAATTATTCAAATAAAAAATCAAAAGGAAAAGAAAAAAAAAAGGAACGAAAACAAATGCTATCACAATATTTTCTCTTTTATCAATTAGCTTTCTTATTATAATTTCAGCTTACTTTATCAGCTAATATTAAGCATAAAAATTTTACATTGTTATAAATGAAATATTAAATACTTTATAATATGCAATCATAATAAAATAAAATGATTAATGATTGCATTAATAAATGAAAAGAAAAAATTCATGAAAATTTTTGTATTTCTCCTCAAATAAACAATTAATTCCAACTCATTCCATTTCATTTTTATTTGTATTATAACATTTCTATTTGCATAAAATACTTTTTGCTTGCATAGAAATATTATCTTAAAAAAGGAAAAAATTTTAAAATATCTCTTCATAGTAATTTGTAGATATTTTAATTTCAATAAATTTTGTTTAATTTCAATATATTTTAGTTTGTAGATATTTTAGTTTCAATAAAAAAATTTAAAAATAATCACATTCTCCAATCTAATATGATATTTAATAAAACATAATAATAATAAATGTATTTAGTAATAATAATGATAACCAATAAAAGATCTAATAGTGATAGCATAATCGTTTATCACAAATGATTATACATTGAGTTTCTGATAATCAGATTTATCAAATTCAATTTTTTTTTTTGTGATTTTTAATTCCTTTTTCAATTGTTTAATTTTGTAAATGCTCAAACATTTTTCATTATGCTCTTATCAACTTATCTACATCATCTCTATTTCAAATTTCAAATAATCAGCTAAAACTTCTCGATTTGATTTCTTAAAAAAACTGTTACTTTCTGACTTTGGCAAAAAATTTAGGTTTAAATGAATTAGAAAAAAAAAAAAAGAAAAACATCAATTAATAGTAAATGGATAAAATAACACTTATTTGGTAGAATTAATGTATTAGGAAATATATTTATTATTTTAATTATCTAATCATATAAATCATATAAATTTTTTATTAATCAAATTTTTTGTTGTAAATAATAAATGAAACTTTTTCACCTTTCATTTTCTTTTCTTCTTTTCTACTAATTTTTATTTTATTAAACTTTTTTTTTTTTTTTTTCAAAATTATTTACCAGAAATAAATCGATTTTCTGCTTCATTATGTATGCTTAGAAGATATGCATTTTGTAGACGACATGCAAATTGAGCAT